TTTTTTTTACTCTTAGCAATTTATCCGTATATTAATTTGTATTTTTAATACGTGGTAAAATGTGCTGTTGTTAAATAATGTGCCTGTTACACTGAGAAGACCTATTTCGTTTTGTTCATACATTTTTGTAAATAATTGGAAACTGCTTCGGTCATTTAAACTATAGGGATCGTTGCATTAGCTATAACAGCTGCTAAACTGGTGCCAGAAGATGTTTTAATTGTATTTATATTATCTTTCCATAAGGAAGCTGCAACAATGCTGTCTCTGCATGTTTTGTTGCTGTGTATGGGTGCAGTCTCGTCGACCCAGAGTCAGGACCCAATGCTGGATCAGGAGTGGGAGCTCTGGAAGAACCACCACCATAAAGTCTACAATGAGGTGATGCTCTGTTTAATTTATTGACATCTAAGAACAGGTTTTACCCAGAAAGGCTTTGTTTTCCAAACTTGGAGAGTATGGAAAATTATGGATCTTAGTATAAAAAATGCATACCTTAATTAGTTTTGCTAATTAAAAATAATTTAAGAAAGCTGTTTTTCTGAAGAAAATATGTATAAACAAATAAAAACTGAAAATATAATCATGCAATTCCGACAAACATATGTCACTTGTGTACGTTTGTGTGTTATTTTATAGCCTATTACTTTCTATTATTAAAACTTTTAATTAAGAGGAGAGATTCATGGTTTAGGTCTCTTGCAGTTAAATTTCATTTCAAGGAAGAAAATAGATTCAACTACTTTCTAATCTAATGATCTTTTTTTTTGTAGCATATACACATTGTTTAACAAGTCCCTAACTGCATGTAGGTCTTCATGGAAACATGAGACAGAGAGTATATTGTTGATTAAAAACCACAGTTTAGAACATTTTTTTTTACTTTTATGCAGAAAGATGAAGGTTACAGGCGGATGGTGTGGGAGAAGAACCTGAAGATGATCACTCTGCACAACCTGGATTCCTCCATGGGCAAACACACCTACACCCTGGGGATGAATCACTTTGGGGACATGGTAAGTAACATTTTTAATATGACAATTATAACAAGATTAATCTCATAGCTCCGTTAAAACAAATCATACCTGTTATACTTCTGTATGAACAAAATCAGTCAACTGGACATTCCTCAAAAAATTTGAATAAAAACTGACGTTCTGGAAATTTATTATGAAACAGGACTATGATACAAATCTGAACAACAAGGGAAATTTTGCAACATCCGCCTCAAAACAATCATCCATTGAAAAAGTCATAAAATTAGGGATCCAAACACAAATCCTTGAGGATCTCCAGAATAAAGTCTATTTGTTTGTTCATCTAAAGATAATTAGTGTGAAAGAGACCTGATAAACTGCTTTGATTAAATGTTTTGCTCACAGACTAACGAGGAGTTTAGGAAGATGATGAACGGCTACAAACCCAAAGCAGGAAACAAAGTAAATGGGTCCTTTTTCCTGAAGCCCAGCTTTCTGAAAGCTCCTGCTGCTGTGGACTGGAGAAAGGAGGGCTATGTTACACCTATTAAAGACCAGGTAAAAAGATTTTTGATTTATTTCATCTGATGAATTTTGTCTAAAGTCAGTCTGCTAGAAACAAAGCCTATTTTTTTCCACATTGGTTAAAAACCTATTTAAAACAGTCATTTTGTTTTTCATTTGTTTATCATTAAAATACATCCTGGACCGTCACAGTGTATTGCTTTCTCCCTCCCCCTTTAACGTATATACCATCACTGAAACCAGTTCATCCTGTTCTAACAGAGACCGAGATGAAGTAAACAAAATGTACAGGCTTGGTTAAAATGATATGAACAGGGTCAAGAGGTCATAAATATTAGTGGGTCTTTATTAGTGTCTGAAAGTATTCTTTTTAGCAGGTCTTGAGCTTAAGGTTTTGTTAAAATAATATCAAGGAGGACAGTGGAAACTATCAAAGACAGCTGCCACAGCCAAAACTAGATCACACATTATACCTATACCAACATGTCTATACCAGTGATAAATGTTGTCTCCTTGACACGATGCTCTTCATGCTGTGACAAAGCATGAGCTGTTTTGCAAAAGAAAAAGTGTTGATGTTTTGTATCCTTCTGCCAATAATCTCCATGTCGCTTCAATAGCATCTAAAGATTTTCAGCAATGTGTTGAGTCAGAATGGCTGAACATAAATCCAGGCGTCACTTGTCAGTTTTCTGTTTGGAAAAATTTTGCAAACCCTATTATCTTTTCTTCCACTTTAAAATGATGCACTACTTTGTGTTTGTCCTTATCTTTGTTGTCTTTAGGGTAATTGTGGCTCCTGCTGGGCCTTTAGTGCCACAGGGGCAATGGAGGGCCAGCTCTACAGAAAGACTGGTAAACTAGTATCGCTGAGTGAGCAGAACCTAGTGGACTGTTCTGGAGCAGAGGGGAACTATGGCTGCGATGGTGGTTGGATGGACAAAGCCTTTCAGTACGTTATAGACAACCGTGGTCTGGACTCTGAAGCATCCTACCCATACATGGGAATTGTACGTATCTTAAGAGTTAGAGAAGTCAAAGTCTAAAGGATGCAAAACTGCCTTTGATTGAAAATTTTAACACAACTCACCTGCAATGTGCTTTTAGGACATGCCCTGCCGCTATAATCCAAGTTACAACTCCATCAACCTCACAGGATATACAGACATTCCCAGTGGGAGTGAGTCCGCTCTGATGGACGCCGTGGCCTCTGTGGGACCAATTTCTGTTGCTATTGATGCCGGTCACTTTTCTTTCCAGTTTTACCAGTCAGGTATGTGGTAAACTAAAAACTATTAAAAAGGTATTTCTTTCATTTTGTTTCCAGAATAAAATGATTGGATGTGTTTTAGGCATCTACTATGAAGAAGACTGCAGCAGCCAGAGGCTGAACCACGGCGTGCTGGTGGTCGGTTATGACACACAAAAAACTTTCTTCAGTGATCAAAACTACTGGATTGTCAAAAACAGGTAAAATAAAAGGAAAAGTAACACATTTGATAGCCTCTTTTTTTCCCCTTTATTATGGATATTATGACGCATGACTTATCAATGGGGGTTCTGACTCATCAATTTCCAAATACAAAGCTTGCTGATGATATATGAGGAAAGAGGCAAAAGCAGATGAGTTGTAGAGATGAGAGATGAAGGAGGCAATAAGTAGTAATGGTGTAATAGATGTTTCATCAAGGATAAAACATGTTCATTGAGGAAGGTAAGGATGAGGAATGAAGGGATAACGAATAATAAATAAACAATATTGTTTAAATATTGACCTAAAAGGTTAGCAGAGATGAGGGAGGAGAGTAGAAAGAATGAGGATGGTAGAGATAAGGAGGCCAAAGGTAAGGATAAGGAAAGACTTTAGGTAAGAGAGACGAAGGATTAGATTAGAATAAAAGAAGGGAAGCTACTAATGAATAATTAAGAAATGAACTAGGGATAAGGGAAATGAAAAGAAGGGATGAATGGTTGAGTGAAAGGGTGAGTACACCTTGATAACCACATTTGTTCTATTTTCTGCGTAATGTTCATGTCTACTTAATTTACAAATTCTAATATTTCTCCTGAAACAACAATTTTTGTTTTCTAAAAAGTTTTCAACAGCACATTTTTTCCTGTTTTTTGTTATTTAAATGTTAAAACTGTGATGTAAAGTGATCTTCCCTGAAAGACAGATGGAGAGCAGGAACAAAAGTTTTTCATTCTGTGGATTTGTCTCGTTGCAGCTGGGGGGTAGGCTGGGGAAACAACGGCTATATCTACATGGCTAAAGACAGATTCAACAACTGTGGAATCGCCACAGCAGCAAGTTACCCGCTGGTTTGAAAAAGCATCTTGACATTGAAGAAGCCGCACTATATACCCATAATTCAGCAGCTCCTTAGATTGTTCCTGGCCTCAGGGAAAAAAGAAGAATGAAAGTTGAAACCTGTATAATCAAGAGTAGCTAAAAGCTTGGTTTCTAAAAGCAGTTGGGTTTATATTATTATTATTTTATCCCTGCTGTTTTTTTTTATTTCCATTGTTCGATTTGTCATTTAATAAATATAAGCATGATTTTTTTTTCAATGATTTGTTCCTATTTTTACTATAACCAATTAAAGTTTTAAATCAAAATTTAAACAGACTGATGTTTCTTATTGATTTATTTTTTTTATTAATACAGTTGTGTGCAATGGACACCATCATAAAGTAATATGATTCCAGTGGGTTTAAATAGCGCATCAGTTTCTCTTCAGTTTCTCTTTTTTAACCAGTAGAGTAAATGGTCCTATCATCGTTTTTTTAAGACCATAAAGCTTCTTAAAATGTTGTACTGCGGTCATACAAGCCTTGGCCTCACATTTTTACAAGTACAGAAATTAGATTATGGCTCTTTTTACCACCAGCAAACACATTTTTTAACTTTATATGCGTTAAAAGACATTTAAAATATTGAACAGAATGGGAAAAAAAACACAAATAATAATAAGAGATGTCGCTCAAGCTGGTAACTTTAAAAAGGACTTCTTCATGCAGTTTAACAGACAACTTCATGTGTTTTTCTTGTTTCTCGTTTAGACCTTCAAAAACCTTTATTCCTTTTCACAATCATGCCCTAAATTGCATTGGTATGTCTCATAAAGGTGTAAAGAAGGCCAAGGGGTGTGATTTGTTTCTTTTTCAAATAATTTTTTACATGACATCAAATAAAGTGACAGTATTTTCAAAAAGTACCAACATAAGGCAAAGCATGTTTGCCAGACATTCACATATGGGTCACATATCCATGACTATGTGTGTATATTGCTCTGCTCTGTTTCAGTCCTGATGTCTTAAATAGATGCAGGAAGATGCTACGAACATCCCTAAAGTCTTTCAATAAAAAAAAAATTAAAAAAAAAAAAAATCTCCTTTTTCAGCCCCTTTTATGGGAGAGGATGACATTATTTCATGATGATATCAAATCACCTGAGTCCATCCAAAAAGCTGACCCATCAGAAAGCTCCAGACCTTACAGTCTATGCAGCCACAGCCGTCATATAAGACTTTTCTCTCAAAGGACAGACAGGGGATTACATCTGCTGCTTTACTTCTTCGGAAACAGACTATAAAGTGAGTTTTAAAAATTTGATGTTTTTTTTTTTTTTTTTTTTTTAAAAAAAAAAATTTTTTTGGTTTTTTTTTTTTTTTTTTATTGAATACTAGTTGTTAGTTATTTAACCAGAATAATATGTTTGGGTTTTTTGTTTACTAGTATCGGGGGAAAAAATTTTATTCAATTTATACATTCACAGAACTAAGCAAAGCTTTAAATTGGGTCTATAACAGATCTATTTTTTTTTATTGAGTGCCTAAGATAACCAAACTTCTTAACGTAAGTGAGAAAAATTTAATCAAGTTCAGTTCTTCTCATACAGCAAGTGGAATAGCACACCTTTATAAATAAATCTTATTATTCATTTAATTTGGAGTTTGTTGTTTAGACATTTGTGAGTAAAAACAGAAGACTTTCATTTATTTCAGTTCTGTACAAAGGCAGCGTTTAACATTGCTTACAAATGCTGAAAAACTTTGTGCGCTCTGGGTGTTCTGCAGTCACAATTTCTTTGTTCAGTCAATCAGCAATAATGTTCTTTTGATATCATACCTGTATAAAACTCCTACAAAGGATCAAGGGTTTATTTTAACCGTCTGTCTAACTTATGTTTCAGTTCCGTCAAAATACATATAGAAATGATCGCCTTGTTTTCTTGCTTTCTTGCTACCTGGCAGGACTACACCAGATATAGAAACTATGGCAGCCCTCATGGTTGAGAAACAGAACATAAAGGATTGCATTCATACCTTTCTGTACTCAATCTGAGGCTATCATATGCGGAGCTCCTTGCCTGCACGTATCTAAATATTTTGAAATGTAAGCCCTGACATGTTGCCTGGTCTTGTTATAGGATTAGGAATCTACAGCAATGCAGGCTGTAGTTGCGGTGATGTGTATGAGTGCAGTCCTCCCAGTCAGCAGTTGGAACCCACAGCTGGATGAGCCCTGGGAGCTGTGGAAGAGCACTTACAATAAAACATATGATCAGGTGTAGTTTTTCGCTTTTGTAACTTCTTTCTAAAGCAGTGAATGCACTGTAAAACAACTCAAATACAACCTGCTTTTTTATGTTAAATGGTAATATCTGTTTTTTGCTTTTTGTTTGACTTTTTTATCCTTATCAAAATGTCTTTGATCAAACAAAGAAATAAAATAAATTATATATATATATATCTATATATATATATATATATAGATATATATATAGATATATATATCATTTTCAGTTATCATATATATATGATATCATATCATATATCATATATATATGATAACTGAAAATAGAAATTCTGATCTCCTGGTTGAAACGTTTATCTGCTTATGAAGTTATTTTGGTTTGGCTTAAAATTTTTAAAAGCGGCATTCTGTATTCTCTCAGTTTACCCTGATGTTTGAACAGATGTAATCATCACAAAAAGAAGTCAAAAAAAAGATTTTTACTTTTGAAAGTTAATTTTTCGCTACAATTAACGGCTAGTCTTACAGCTATGTTTAAAGTTACATTAATACTTAAACAAAAACAAATTTCATTGTATATGTGTTGAATAGTTGCAAAAAAATAAAAAAAGAATCCTCTTAATGCATGTATTTTGGTAAAAAGCTTACTAATAACGTTCAGAATGTTTACATTTTTGATCAGAAGGAGGAGATCTTTAGGCGAATGGTGTGGGAGAAGAACTTGAAGAAGATTCAGTTCCACAACCTGGAGCACTCCATGGGGAAACACAGCCACCGCCAGGGCATGAACCAATTTGGAGACATGGTGAGAAAAGAAGAATAAACATTTAGAGATTATCATTTAGAGGGAAGAGGGAAGTCTGGGAGTCTCTGCTTAGTCTGCTGCCCCCGCGACCCGGTTCCGGATAAAGCGGGAGACGACGAGTACGAGTACGACGAGATTATCATTTACTTAAAACTGCATACGCCAAAAAAAACATGAGACACATACATGACAGTGGTATAGGTGAAATATTTTGAACTGGTTATAGGGGACAGTTTGGAGGGGGTCAAGGTAATGTGGTTCACAGGTGACATAGCTTGACCTGGCTTTGGATGCATACTTTGACAATGGTGTTGTTTTGCATGCGTATACAGTAGGTGGCACTCTGACGGGTGTTATATACGATGGAGCTTAATGACGATCAGAAGTGGTATGATTAAGGATAGGTTACATAGTTTGGTGGAGGTATAGTTGGAAGTTCACCAAAATATGTCTTCCAGATAACTGGCAGTTCACTGACAAGAGAACAGCACCATGTGACAGGTTTTAGAGCCACAACTTGTTCCAAACCACAACTTTCCAATTGAGAAAGGAACAGTGCATCAAACACATAAAGTTAGTTCTTTCAAATCCTGTCAAGTAAAAGGTGGGTCTGTTGACCTACGCCTACTGTTGACACTACCCTCTAGACCACAGGTGTCAAAGTGGTTCCAGAAAGGGCCGTGTGGCTGCTGGTTTTCTTT